TCAATTCTTCCATTTCTGGGCAAACTCCTACATCCAACGCCACTATCGCCCTGTTAGAACAGGTACAGCTTCTGTGTAGCACGCTGTGAGATGCAGGAGTGTAATTATTCTGTGGTAGGACATCTTTCACCAAAACAAACAGTCTGATGGTTCATGATCATGTTATCCATACTGGTCCTACCTCCTCGTCCTGGTCCGGTTTCTGATCTGTCCTGGAACCTTCCTGGGAACCTTCCAGGGGAATGTGAACTGCACAGAGTGAAGTAGTCATCTGCAGAGAGAAAGAAAGGAAAACAAACTTTTACCTCAATGTGACCTTACTGGTTCTCTAGGAGATATGATGTGGTTTGACCATCTGAGGAACATTGAGGTGTTGTTCACTGATTACCTTGGCTTTACATTAGACCCAAGTTCACCATTGTTGCTTTTGTTGTTTGCCTGTGATTCTATAGCCCCTCTTACAGTACCCCTATGAAACCATTCCGTGCCGAGTTTGGACTAAGTTTGGATCCGTCAACCATGCCAAGCTCGATTCCTTACGACCGTTTACACACCACTCTAGAACGGTTCCTCAAATCCTAGTGTTGATCTACGGTACTACTGCTCTATAGAGGGAATCAAGCAAATCAACATGGCGGCAACCATGACATTCAGGAAGTTTGGTTATTATTGTGATATTTCATTGTTTCCAGAGAGTCAGGCAAATAATGCAGCCTTTGGTGAATTTACTTGACAGAGTTGGCTTTTGGGAAGTGGATACGACAAATGATAGTCTAATCAGGGCTTACAGACGCAGGAAGAAATGACAGATGATGAGGTTCATTACACTACTAAGCAGAATCATCACTGGAAATCGTGTGGCATGGTAAGGAAACTAGTATTTTATGAATGTCTGAAATTTCATGATTATGGAGGCTGACTGTAAGGAGATGTTATGGGCTGCTCATGCGCTCTTTGTTATATGAGCACTGAAGGCCTGGTTATACTCCTACAGCAGGAGTATAACCAGGCCTTCAGTGCCATTTACACTCAACAGTTATCTCGGTTACCATGCTTGCACCAATCTCAGCACGGTTTCAAAAAGGTCTTGTAAATGGGGCTTAGGTTTACCTTAAGCATTGTCATAGTTTACCTGAGTCAGTGCGGGGGCAGAGGGCACAGCCCATTCCCCAGCCCTCCCCGTATAAGCAGCAGCAGTCGCTGAATGTGACTTGACCTCCGAGAAGAGGACTCTGACACAGCATGTCGGCGCTAACATGCTGCCAGCACACGGACAGGTTCTCATCTGGAAGGAGCAAGGAACAAAAAATCCGATCAGTTGATATGCAGATGATGTGCCAGTGTTTTTTTGACTAATTTAAGTGTCGTTTGTGGCTGTTTTTTGTCACATTAGGGCAGTAAATCACACAGGTCTGCAGGGGAGAGGAAGGCTTACCTACAGTAAGGTGGGAGGCGTTCACACAGTTTCTCTGAGTGTCGTCCAGGACCAGCGGAGGAGCACAGCTGCAGTGATACGAACCAACAGTGTTCACACACACACCTCCAACACAGGTCTCCTCCTCACACTCATCATAATCTGAAAGATGAAGACTGGTCAGCAGCAGCAGGATTTCAGGAAGATCTGCAACCAATGGGCTCTATTCCTACCGACACACTCCAGTAGGGCGCTGTTGTAAATGAAACCACTGGAGCAGTAGCATCTGTATCCTGGGATGTTGTTGACACATACTCCATTCTTACACACCTCCGGATGGAAACGCTTGCACTCGTCCACATCTGGAGACAGACAGATGATCACAAAACCTCTCTATATCTGCTGCTTTATTGGTCAGAAAAAAGGCTTCAGAGCATAGGGTGTCACAACCCCCAGGCAGCTCTGTACCTGAGTAGCCGAAGGCTCCCGCTGTCACATACCCTCTCCCGCTGGGGCACAGGGACAGAAACTCGGCTGAAACACAGGAACATCAACTGTAAGACCTGTAATAATGACTGCAATATGCTTCAGTTTCTGGAAGTCTCACGTGTGTCTTCAGGAGGACAGGTAAGATACTGGCAGCCCAGCCCCCAACCCTCCCCCATGGTGCAACAGCACTCCTGCTGGCTGATGTTGGCGGTCAGCCGGCTGCAGGAACCTTGTTCGTGCAGGTTGTAGTAACAGTCCCTCAGCTCTCCGGGTCGGGCTGCTGGGAGCACAGGGAGCTGAGGGGCCGAGGATGGCTGCAGCTCCACAGCAACGTCCACTGTTCTGACTTCAAAGCCAGAAGAAGCAGAGGAAAAGTGTCTCGACTCAAGATCTGTCCTGGATGCTAAAAAAGCAGAAAGAAACCCTAGAGTTATGCTGTTGTAAACTAAAAGTGCTATTTTCATTTGTTATGGGGCAAATTATATATAAACATTAAGACTCCCGTTAAACTTTTATTAATAAAACTTTAGATTTTCACAGTAACGATTTGTTTCCAGTGCAATTATCGGCCATCGCAGACAAAAGACAATGATTGTGGGAAAATCGTAGTTGGAAAAAATTTTCAACGATCAAAATCTGAAAATCCCACAGTGTGACAGCTGCTACGACCTACGTATCTCTACTGATCAGCCAAATGGAAATGAAGCTGCTGCTCTCAAAGATTTTATAGAGAAGATTCAAGCAAAGTGAGCTGGTTCTAGGATTGTTTTTATAATCCTCAGAAAAGAAGCATTTAAATAAGGGCAACCAGTGTATTGTTAGGATTATTATTATTGATGATGTGTGAGTCTGTTGAACCCTAAAAGTACCTGCCTTTTGCCTGGCCAAAATAATGTTTTCTCAAGTAGTTTATCTAAAAGGGACAGCTCCTCTGTCAGGATTAAAGGTGTCATCGGAAAGTCGAGATTTATCCAGTGAAAAATGTTTTTACTCAGTCTGTTTCACCTGCAAGGCCACAAAATGTCTGACTCACAAGTTTTTTGCATACAAGGAATACTTATTCCTTAACAAGCCAAATTCTTTCTCAAGACTTGTTATTGTTTAACCATAGTGTGTAATTTGCTTTTACTCTGACACAACATTCACAGCGTTTTCCTCATTATAAGTGAGAAAAACTCTGTCTAGATCAGAACAGGGCTGATTACTGTATCATAATGAACTGTTCTCTGTTTGCAAAGATATAAAAATAAAGTGCCGATTGATTTGACTCAGTCGGCAAACATTTATGATGTAAAGCTGTGGATGCTTCTTTAACTGTGATTCGAGGCTACTTCATGAGATGTGAGCCTGGTTGGTAAGCACTGCCTTCTGTAACCCTAACTTCTCTGGTCTGAGTAAGATCACAATTTATGTCAAAATAACCCTAACCCTGGGATTGTCATGTTAATTAATAACGTGTTATTTAAATAGTTTGTCTCAAGTGATCTCATCTCAGGAAAATAACCGGAGAAAGAAAGCTTCAAGTTGTAAACACAGAGCTTTCCATGACAGTATCATACTATATCAAGTGAGAAATCATAGAGTAAACATGCTAACTGCTAATAAATGAGTCGCCTATTGAATGTAAAGTTGTCACATTTTCTTGTTGTAGTATCAACACAAAAAATATATATACCAGTGCTGTTGTCTGTAATGTTAATACAAGGACATATAAGATGAAATGTTTTTTTCCACTTTCTTCTGGTTCTGTAACGCAACCGGAAGAAATCACACAGAGAAGAGTTTCCACAGATGAGGAGCAAAGGAGGCTCCACAGGTTCTAAACGATTCTGCCCCACAAATAAAAAAATTAGAATAACACATTTTGAATTTCTTAATTAATTCCTGTCATGCTTAGCCTGTCATTTTGCTCCAATCAGAGTAAACGACCAGTGCTGCCTCTAAAATCAGTAGAAATGAATGCACACAGGGTAAACGTTATGGCTACTTTAAAAATCACATAAGTAGAAAAAAGGTGGTGGATTATGGGGCGTCGTTTGTAAAGATAAGCAGTCAAAACTAAGGAGCAATATTTATGGTTATTTAGCGTATTTTAAGAGAAAAACTAAGGGTTTATTTTTTTCCAAGTCATTTTTCACTATGCCATTCATTTGTTTATAAAAATCTTACTTTGTTAAATAAATATTTAGTTTGGAGCTAAATATTTAGTTTGCAAATTAAATATTTAGCCCAGAACTAAATATATATTTAACAAACTAAATATTTAGCTAATATGGAAATTCACTTGCCAAAAAGCGAAAGTGAACTACTGTACCAAAGTAAAAGCCCCAAGCAAAATTTTTATTTTGTTGAATAAATAGTAAATTTGGAGCAAAATATTTATTTCACAAACTAAATATTCAATTTGGACCTAAATATTTATTTAACAAACTAAATATTTAATTTGCAAAATAAATATTTAGCTCCAAACTAAATATTTATTTAACAAAGTAAGATTTTTTTTTTTTTATAAATGAATGAATGAATGATATAGTGGAAAAAATTGCTTAAAATCCGCTAAATAAGCTCAGATATTGCTCCTAAATTTTGAATGCTTAACTTTACCAATGGCGCCCCATAGTTAATAGTGGAGTACTGTTTTGGCTGCTGACTTTTCTTAATGTAACAATGGTGAGGTATGGCTGTTATTCAGAGTCGCCTCAAGCAACAGTTGAACCTCGTTGTCTCTCTATAGGAGAAAATGATTTACTGGCATCTCTAGCATTTATTAGTTGTGTTTATGTTTAGGCAGTATGCGTGTTTATGTTGAGTTTAAAAGAACACAGCACCAATAGAGGGGATGCATGGGAATTAAGCCATGATTACAATATCGCCATGTAACAAAACAAACATCCAGGTTTTAGTGGATCTTCGTCGTGTAAACGGGCCCAGACTGAAGCTGTGGGGATCAACAGGAAAGGAGGGAATCACCATCGCAACAAGAATTTAGCATCTTCTCCCTTTTGAAAGCAGCAAATAATATTTTAAATTGTTCATAGTACTGGACATGATTAACAAAAAAAAATCAATGAAGGACACAGATGAGTGTTGAGCTGAAAGGTTAAAGCATTTCTCTTGGGTATGTCTGTTGAAGGATGTGTGATTTGTGTTTGTTACCTGTTCCCACAGAGCTTACACACTGTCTGGTTAAAGAGTCAAAGATGTCGGCTGCTCCATCACATTTACACATAAAGCTTCCCTTGGTGTTCTCACAACGAGCAGAACCACAGACACCTGGCTGAGACACACACTCGTCCTCATCTGAGAGATGAAAACACAGCCATGTCATGTGTGCTCCCATAAGTAACCTTAGATCCATCATTTGAGCAGCTGAAAACAAACCAATCAACGACTCTGATGTAGTTCATCCTTTAAGTTTTTTTGTAGACTCACCTACACAGCTGCCATCAGGAGCCACCTGATAACCTGCCTGACAGGAAGCAAGGCAGCGGTATGATCCAATCGTATTCTCACATCGCTGCGACACACAAACAGAACTACTGGCAGAGACACACTCATCCACATCTGGGAACATAGACAGGCAGAGAGCAAGTTTAAACAAGAAAACAGACATCATCTGATGTGACTTAGAACTTTCTATGCAAGGGTTTACCGAGGCAGGCGGTCTTCTCAGGGTTGGTGATGAAGCCAGTTTTACACTGACACTGGAAGGAACCTTCAGTATTGACACAACGACCATCCGAACAAACACCAGACCTCATGCACTCATCCACATCTACAAAGAGGAAATAACAAAAATTCCTGGGTTTGGTTTGGTTAGGATGGATGGATAGAGGGACGGACAGACGGCCGGACAGACAGACAGACAGACAAGGCATATAGTAAGGTAGAGCAAATCAATTGTTGATAAAGATAATGTCAGGTAAGGTAAATACATGGATGATTTAAGGTACCGGTACTGTAAATAAAGTAAACTGATGGATGGATGAAGGATCTAGTTCTTTTGGTCATGATCCATATTTCTTGAGCATAAGTGATGGTAGGGATGTTGACTGACGGGTAAATTGGGAGCTTTTCCTTTGCTTGCTTAGCTCTCATTTATCAAAACAGGGAGATAAAGTGTCTGTATAACATCAGCAGCAGCATAGATCCATCTATTGATCTCTCGCTCCATTTTCACCTGACTCGTGAACAAGATTCAAAGATACTTGAACTACTCCATAAAGGCTATGAACAGGACTGGTTACAAAGGGCAGCCCTGTTGGAATCCAACATGCACCTGAAACAGGTCCGACTTAATGCTGGCAATGTAGACCAAGCTTCTGCTATATTTGTACAGAGACAGGATGGCCCAAAGTAGAGGGCCCCTTACTCCATACTCCTGAAGTGCCCCCCACAAGGAACCACAAGGGACAAGGTTAAATTCCTTCTCAAGGTCCACAAAACACATGTTGGCCAGTTTGTCAAACTCCCAAAACACTCATACCCTGTAGAGAGTATAGAGCTTGTCCAATTTTCCAAGGGTGGGACAAAAACCAAACTGCTTCTTCTGAAGTCAAAGTTTAACAATCAGCTGGACTCTTCTTTGCAGCACCCTGGCATAGGCCTTCACAGGGAGAAGTGTAATCATCCTCTAGTTGAAACCCACGTCTTATGGAGAGGAACCATCCCCCCAGTGCCAGTTTAGGGGCACTCTACCCAACCTCCATATGATGTTGAAAAGGCGTGTCAGCCACAACATCCCGACAACATCCATAGCTCCAAGGTACTCAGGGCTGATCTTGTCCACCCCAAAGCCTTGCCACTGTGGAGCTTTTTAACCACCTTAGTGACTTCAGCCTGAGTGATGAATGAATAAATCGTGAGAACCCCATCTCTTCTTCCACCACGGAAGGAGTGTCAGGAGTTTTTCAAAGGATTCCTTCCACTGTTCAACAATATCAATTTTAGGGTCAGCAACTCTCCACTTCAACTGAAAACGGTATTAGCAAAGCACTACTTTCCCCTCTGGAGGTGCTGCACGGTTTGCCAGAAAGGCTGTGAGGCCAACCGATAGTCTTTTTCTGTCGCCTCTCTAAGCTCCTCCTAGTTTTTGCCTCAGCAACCGCACGGGCAGTGGAATGCTTGGCCTCATAATACCTGCTTGCTGCCTCAGGAGTCCAGAAAGCTCAATAGGACTCCTTCTTCAGCTTGTCAGCATCCCTTGCTGCCACTGTCAACCACCGGGTTTGGGGATTGCCCCCACGACAGGCAGAGCAGACCTTATGGGTTTCCCACATGTGCGTTGAAGTTAGCAGAGTGATGGAATCTCCAGACCCATCACCTAGAGCTTGTTTGCATTGGGAGACCCTACCACAGGCATTTAAGTCTCTGGAAACATCCAGGCACTGAAACCTCTCCACCACTTTAAGGTGGCAGTTCAAGAAGAAGTTAAGATCAGAAAAGTAAATTGATTGATGAATGAAGGTAAGTCAGGGTAAAATAAAGTACAATGATGGTTTGTTGAAGGTAAGGTATAGTAAACCAATGGATAGCTAACGTAAGGTAAAGTAAATTGATGGTTTGATGAATGTAAGGTAAGGTATGATAATGAAAAGTAAAGTAAATCAGCGAATGAATGAAGGTAAGGTAAATTGATTGATAAATGAGGACAAGGTAAATAGATAGATGGATAAAGGTGAGGTAAGCTAAAAAATGTAGGTAGGTAAGGTACACTTAATCTATGCATGGATGAATGTAATGTAAGGTAAGGACAGGTAAAGTAAACAGATTGTTGGGTAAAGGTAAGCTAAGGTACAGTAAGGTAAAGTTAAACGACGGATTGTGAACTGTATTGTAATGTAAGATAAGTTATCCTAATAATCATGTTTTTAGACTTTGGCAGGAAGCCTGTATTCTCTGAAAGAAACCATGCATGAATGGAGGGAGCATGAAAACGGCATGCAGAAAGACCCTTGGCAGGGATCTTAACAACTCGGTAGACCTTTCAGAAATATGGGTTTAGAGATCCAAAATAATTTGGACAAAACCTCACCGAGGCAGGCTGTCCTGTTTTCATTTAGTGTGAATCCAGGTGAGCATACACAGGTGTATGACCCAGGTGTGTTTACACACTCCCCTCTAGAGAAACAAAAGTCGCCTTCCAAACACTCGTTGACGTCTGCAAAGACAAAAATCATTATTAGTTCAGTTTCAAAGCTTATCTAGCTGCAGAAAATGTTTTAAAACCTTATCTACATTCCCCCTTACCTCTGCACTGTCCTCCCAGGCTAAAGCGTCGGTATCCTGGCCGACAGTCACATCTGAACGAGCCGACAGTGTTCACACATACCTGCTCTGCTTCACATGCTCCGGCACTCGCGCACTCATCCACGTCTACAGAACAAAATATTCTTTCATGAGTTTCATCTCATTTCAGACCCGTTCAGAGCTCCAAAACTTACAGCTCACCTCTGAGGTCAGAACCAATATCAATCTGGTATTCATGGAAAAAACTCTGGAAAAATGTTTTTAAACCTTCTTTTATATAAATCAAAAGAGCGCACATAAAACACACTGACCATCATCAGATTTAATGTAAAAAAGGCAAGTATGCAACATGGGAAACCAAAGAATTTTTAAAAAATTTTTAAGTTTGCAAGTGTGTCTAAATCTGTCAGTTCAATTAAAATGTACACTTTAGTATCGTCACCAAACAGTTTGAACTTTGAGGGTCCAAATGTGGTTCTGGGTTCCTAATTGTAGGACAATGAAGGATTTTCTGTTTTATTTTATTCTATTCTAAATGAGGTGGCTAAGATGGAAGAATAACAATTTTTGAAAATCCAGTAAAGTTACAAATCATACACATACGAACTTTATGTATAATTAAAAATATATGTAGTTACATCATATGTATCATTTAGGCCATAAAGAAAAAACTAAAACTTATCATACAGCATCTCCTTCTTATAGTCCTTAACACCAACAATCGTCCTGAATTATACTTTGAGTCCAAACTATTCTAATGTCCAATAAGTTAGCAAATAACTTAGTTGATGTACATATAAAGAATGAAAATATCAGAAATGAACCAAGTACTGGTCCTTGAGGTACACCAAAACTTAAAGAATTTATTTTTATATTTATTTTGAGCTTAATAAATCACACATAAAGTTCATAACACACTGATGCTAACTGGTAAACACAAGGAGTAGATCAAAAGAAATAAAATCAAGTAATTTCTATCTATCATCAACTGGTCATTGGTTCTATAACACCCCAGTATGAAGGGCTTTAAACCATTCAAAACAATGAAATTCCCATGTTGCAATTTTTATAGTATGATAGATTTATGTCCCAAATTCTGATGCAATACACATAGCATTCCATTTTCCTGCCAGAGAAGACTCGTATTCTTTAATGCCCATATGTAGCCACTTAAGCCGCTATTACAACCACAACAATGGCACAAAAAAAAAAAACTGCTCTAAGAATTTTGTCCACATAAACAGCTTTCAAACATATTCTCTTATAAACAGTGAAAAGTACTACAGTACATGTTCAATTGACTGAACCAGTCAGTGTCAGGGTTGGGTTGAAATTTTGAGGATACAAATGCAGAGGTGAGGAGGCAGAGGTGAGTTTTGCAGATTAAATGAAGCAACTGAGGCAGGAATCCAAACATCCAAGATAACAAATACAAAAAAAACAGAATCTAGGAGACATCAGGGAAAACACACATGAGGAGCCAGGACAAGACGAGGAACCAGCACTGAAGAACTGAACAGGGAGAGTATATATAGGAGACAGAACAAAGACTGGACTAATGAGTTGATTGGGAGCAGGTGTGGATGGAAGCATCTAGAAGGGAGCCAAGGGAAAGGAAACAAACACAAGGGGGCAACAGAGAGTAACCAAAAAAATAAAACATTGCTAGAAAACAACTACAAATACAAAGAAACTAAAAATAAACTTTAACAGAGGGCAGATACCCTGACAGTCAGTGAATAAATGTTACTGCTGTTGGGATGAGTAGCAGCCCTCATGAATGTGGAAGTCAGGTATGGTTGTGTTTCTTCATAACATTCCAAACTGGAATTGCTACTTTCTAGGGCATTCCAGCTGAAATCTCCTATTCACAGGTCAGATTTCCTCTTAAGAGTACAATTACTTTCATTACTTACTATAAAAACAGTAAGCCTCTTGTGTCTTGTACAGGAGTTATTTGGTGGTACATAAAAAACAGATGCTAGAAGCTGTCTTGACAACATAGCAACATAATACAATTGTATAACAAGCTTATCACATATTTGATTTGATATTTCAATTTTTTATGTACAAGGAGAGCATAAGAAAAATATTTTGAAAGTTGTAAAATCCTCTAGGAATTCTAAGAAGGGTCAAGATATCTGTACCTATAACATCAATTATAATACCAGTTTGGACCCAGAAAATTTCTGTGGTTATACAGCTTTTATCAAAAATATGTTGGTCTCATTTGAAGTGACTTATTATCATAGCATGCTTGTGAGTGCATACACACCTGTGCACTGTCTGTTGGTTAGCGTGTATCCTTGACGACAAGACACACACCTGTAGGATCCCACAGAGTTCACACACATCTGTCCAGGACACTGAGACGGCTCAGCACACTCATCGACATCTGAACACACACAGCGGTCACAGATCACTGCTCAAATGGATAAGAGGTCCCAAAATCAGCATCAGGACCGAGGGATATGTACCCGTGCAGGTGTTGTTTTTGAGCCGGTAACCATTGAGACAAACACAGCGAAAACTACCAGGTGTATTTTCACAGCGGCCATTGGAGCATGGAGACCGCCGACACTCATCAATGTCTGCAAAAAGGTGACAAAACAGAGAATCAGACCATTTTAGCAGAACAGGTCCCAATCCGGTCCAGTCGGATCCAGTCGGAAGCAGACGAATGTTACCTGTACAGATCCCATTGAGCAACCCGAATCCTGCGTGGCAGGATGAGCAGCGATAAGAACCCAGAGTGTTGATACATTCCTGACCCGGGCACTGCAGAGGATCAACGCACTCGTCCACATCTGAAAAACACAGGTATCAAACACACCTGTAGGATTTCCCCAATTCAAGAAGTTAAGGTAAGGTAAGGTACAGTTAAGGCAGGGTTGTCAAACTGTAGTCATTGAGGGCTGGTGTCCTGCAGCTTTTAGATCCGTTTCTGCTTCAACACACCTCAATTCAATTATTAGGTCACTAGCAGGATTTTGGACAACTGAGAAGATTCTTCTTAAGATAAGTTGGACCAGGGACACATCTAAAATCTGCAGGACAATGTTCCTTAAGAAATGGAGCTTGACATCCCTGGGTTAAAGTAAAATAAGGTAAGGTAAGGCAAATCGATGATGGATTAAGGTAAGGTAAGGTAGGTTTAGGTAAGGTACTGTAAGGTAAAGTAGGCTAAGGTAAGGCAAGGTAGGGTAAGGAAAGGTAAGGTAGGGTAAGGCAAATCGATGATGGATGAAAGATAAGTAGGGTAGGGTAAGGTAAGGTAGGGTAAGGTAAGGTAACATATGGTAGGCTAAAGTAAGGTAGGGAAAGGTAAGCTAGGCTAAGGTAAGGGCCACCGTACTACTGGCCTCTTGTAATAGAGCCAACTTTTCTTCCATACCTTCGCAGGTGTTCCCAACGAGCCTATAACCATGAGGACAGGCACACCTGTAGCTTCCTGCTGTGTTTTCACAGTGCCCATTAGTGCAGGGATTTTGCTGACACTCGTGCAGATAATAATCACACCTGTAGGATTAGCAATGAACATATTCTAGTGCAGAGTCTGTACGGGTCAGATTTTACAAAACTGTATCTGCCCGCAGAGTTCAGGTTTGAGACTGGCCCCAACCGGTGTTCATAAAGTGTACAGACAGCTGTTTTAGTGCTTTATTTTTATTATTTATTATTTTATTAACAGCTGTAAATTGGTGGAATTAAGAAGGCTGCCTTGTAAAAACGTACTGTTATCTGGATATTCTTGAATCAATATACTAATAAGGATGTACAGTTTATAAATAAGAAAATATAAATTATAAGTTTAAATCATGCTGTAACTCTCTGTTTTATAAGGGTACCTGCGGGTACCCACGGGTACCTGACCCGGTGCAGGACTCTGTTCCAGTAAAACCGAGAAGGACCGATGTAAACTTTAAGGTCTGTGAGTTTTTATGGTTCATTTGTTACTTTGCTGTTGCTAACAGGTCCTTTACCTTCACAGGTGTTCCCACTGAGCCTGTAACCACGGTGACAGACACACCTGTAGCTTCCTGCTATATTTTCACAGCGGCCATTACTGCAGGGATTCTGTCGGCACTCGTCCTCATCTGAAACACACGCGGGTAAAAAACACACCTGTAGGATTTGCAAAGAGCGTGTTCCAGTGAAATCGAGAAGAACCGATGAAAATTGATCATCGGTTACTTTGCTGATGCTAACACATCCTTTACCTTCACAGGTGTTCCCAATGAGCCTGTAACCACGGTGACAGGCACACCTGTAGCTTCCTGCTGTGTTTTCACAGCGGCCATTAGTGCAGGGATTTTGCTGGCACTCGTCCACATCTAGATGCAAACAAAAATATAATGTATGGATGAACCAATGGATGAATGAATGGATGAGTGAATGGACGAATGAATGGATGAATTAATGGATAGGCACTTTTCTTTCAAAAAGAAAGCAGAGGCTTTGTTTTGTCATTCTCAAATATTGAATAATTAAAAAAAATGTATCATAAAAATAGAAATATCTAAATGATCATTTCTATAATGCTTCATTCGAGACTACAAAAAATGATGACAAAGCAAAATGTTTAATCATTTAAAAAGAAAAGAACCGCAATAGTTGTGAATCCGATCTTCCCACCGTGACAGAGGGTTCCCTGATCGTTGAGCTGGTATCCCTCCTCGCACTCGCAGGTGTATTTCCCACCCGGTTGGTCCAGGCAGCGGCCCCGCCCACACACACCTGGCCTGCTCTGACACACACTACGAACAACTACACACACACACATATATGGCACATGATGTCAGGAGTACAGAAAAATATGGTATCTTTTCATTGGAAAAAACAAAATAATATAAATTTTAGATTACAATGTGAAACATTTGCCAAGATGAAGGCTGTTTGAAATTTTCTTCACCCTCTAAAGAAAAAAAACTTTCAGTCGTGAATAAATCTCAAAGCGAAACTCTGTCTGGTCTGAAGAACAACCCAGAACTCAGGAGTTTAAAAACATTACGCATGAACACATATGATGAAACTGAGACAGATGTGATGGATCTAGAGGTTCTACACACAGGCAACATTGATAGTACCCCTCATTTAACAACAGAAAAACCGACAATGTTCACAGAAATAACTTGAATCTGACAAAACCTCTATGGAAATGAACAAATGAAAGTTATACAATGTTTTTCAAACATGTTTCAATAACAAATGCAGCTGTAGTCACAGGAATATCTAGCTGCTTGGTCTTTTAATTTTTATCTTTAACACACTTGTCCATAATTGTCTTTCTAATCTCCTGAAACAACCCTTTCCTTTGCTGCCTCTGGTCCATGTTGAGTGTGGTACACACCATGTCAACCAACAGCAGCATGACTGCAGACACTCTATTTGAGCTCTGGCTCAGAGCTTGTCTTCCTGGCTGTGTGATTCCTGGACGGGGCCGCCTGTAAAGCTGGTTGACAGTTGCCTTTTGTATCTCTGCCTCTTTCTGTATCTTTGCTTCTGTCTCCTTGAACCCCAGTCGGCCTCAGCAGATGGACGCTCACACTGAGCCTGGTTCTCCTGAAAGTTTTCTCCTGTTAAAATAGATTTTTCCTCTCCACTCTTGCTCCAAGAACCGAAGGCAATCCCTCACACTAAGCATGCTTGTAGCGACAGTGGAGAGCAAAAACTCCCTTTTTCTTGACAGGGATGCCAAGAAACCTTCAATAGAACCAGAATCAGTGTGAGTGGCCATCTGCTGAGCCTGACAGGGGTTCAAGGTTCAAGACAGAAGCAGACATAAAAAAGAAGCAGACATACATAGACAGTTGAGTGGCATTGATACTTTTGGAGCACCCATGATGGCCCCAGCAAAAAAAGGACTGATTGCCTTAGTCAAAAAAGAAATGATCCTTCTGAGTCTAGATCCAAATTACTTAATTGTATGTCACTGTGTCATACATCAAGAAAGTCTGTGTGCACGTTCCCTGAAGCTATACGATGTGATGAAAACTGTTGTGTCCATCAGAAACTTCATCAAAAGCCAAGGGCTGAACAACCATCAGTTCATAGAATTGCTCTGTGAACTAGAGTCAGGGTACTGGGATCTGGTTTGTTAGTGCTAGGCGTAATGTCTTAGTTAGTCTCACTGATTTATGCTCTGAGGGGTAAGTCAACTACTTCATGGAGACGAAGGGAAATCCTGTGGCAGAGCTCAGTGATGACAAGTGGCTCAGTGATTTTGCCTTCATGGTGGACATTACCATGCACCTGTGAGAGCTAAACACCACGCTGCAAGGTCCCAACCAGCTCATCAGTTCTCTACTTTCAAATGTGAAATCATTTGAAGTTAAGTTAAGGTTATGGCAGGCACAACTGGAAAATGGAAACACTGTGCAGTTTCACACTCTGCAAGAACAACAGGCTGATGTCACAACGGAGTATGCTTGTGAGTGTGCAAAACTCATTCAGACATTTTATGAATGATTTTGTGGTGTGAAAAATCCACAAAGGGAACAGGACATGTTTTTGCTATGCCATTCAATGTGCAACCAGCTGATGTGCCAGAAAATCTCCAAATAGAAATGATTGAGCTGCAAAGCAACACAGCTAAGTGCAACAACCTCCCTCTACTTTACTTTTAATATGTATGTTGGTGCTAAGAATTTTCCCATTCCAAGGACACATGGCCTGAAATATTCATCTTGGGTTGGGACATCATACTGCTATGAAGAGCTTTTTTCAAAACCCTTCGTCTTCCGTCTCCGCTCAAGGCTGACAGACCCAAACGTGGAAAACCAGCTTTGAGTCGCATCATCACCACCGCCAGCTGATCAAATGCCGCGCCAAAGACAAACAGTTCCAGCTATGGCATTAGGTGAGTCTGACATGCATAGAAATTATGATCCCCCATCCTATCAGTCATACCTTTCTGTTGTAATGAACGTTAGAATTTATGTCGCTAAAACTGCAAGGCTCTTAAAGTACAAACTGAATTGGCCCTCAAGGTGGAAAATGTTCCACAATCCTGTTCTAATAACATTAAAAATATACAAAAATATAAATATATAAAACTGAGAATAGGAGACTATACGGTACTTTACAACACAACTCAATTAGAATATTATGACACGATAACAGAGAAGGGCACGCTTATTTGTGCAAAAAAAAAAGAATGGGAAGGAAAACATTTCAACAGCAAAAGGGATGTGCACATTTATAAAGTCTGATCTGGTTCCAGACCAAATTCCAGCTGCCATTTCCTGTACTCACTCTGGACTCTGCTTGGACGTCTCGTTGGGACCACAGCCGGTTGTCTCTCTGGGACAGCGACCTCTCCACCAGGTCTGGATCCACGCTCTGAGGTCTGAGGCGGCAGAGAGTCTCCTCGTCCTGGTGATGGGTCGGATTGGGATCCAGCGGAAGGCTGATTGGCAGCTAATATGAAAAAATAATGTGATGAAACACATCAGATCCACTATCTGAACATGGCTGAACAAACCTTACCTTGATTATCACTTGAGAAAAGCTGTGGTCTGGCTGCAGGTTGGTTGGGCCGACCCTGCTGGCTGTCCAGTCTCTCCTGGGAGGTCCTTGTTCCCCAGCTAGCAGGCTGCGCTAGTCTGGAGGACGAGGAACCGGCATTCAGGCCAGGCTGAGGCGAATTGGGTCTGGTAGAAGATGGTGAACCCGAGAAGCTGGGTCTCTGCAGAGAGTGAGAGGTTCCACCACCTCTGGACCCTGGAATCAGAAGACGCAGGTTTGTTTTTTGTCAGATTTCAGAAAAGACTGTTGTTGTCAGAGGCATTGGAGGTCTGGACATCTGAGACCAATAGACTCTTTAGAATCAGCCTAAATAACCTGATGAAAGCTGTGAATCTGGACCCGTGTTGTCCTGGGATGTTGGCAGGGATCCTCGCCCTGCCTGCTCAGCATCAGCTCTTTGAGTGAACTGCAGAGTGGATGCTGAGTAATGATAACCAGGACCAGCTGGACAGATCTCTTTAAAGGTAACTGCAAAAAAGAAAAAACAGCAGAATGACAAGAAACGGGGCTGAACAGAACAATATGAAGAACTGCTAAAAAAAACAAACCCACCTGAACCAAAGTAAGGACATCTCTGGCAGTCTGGTCCCCAGGCTTTACCGACTCGGCTGCAGCAGCAGATTTGCTTGGTGATGTTTCGAGCTATGGGCAAGGAGCAGGAAGATGGACCCAGACCTGCGCCCACGACTCTGTAACACTGACCCTTCTCCTCTGATATCACACTTTGTGCTGAGGAGGACAAACAGAGACAGAGACATGTTAGAAAAGTGAAGCTTTGATATTCCAAACAGAGGAGAGATATGCAGTCAGAATGCTGCATGCAAAACCAGAACATGCTGATCTCTGGTCAGCATAGACACAGAAAGCCTGATTACAAGGATAACAAGCTGCAAAGACCAGCTATTGGTGTTGTCACAGTGTAAGGGAGGGTGCAAGACCAGAACCAGGGCTTAGATACAGCTGTTAGGTAGAGGACAGTTCAGAACCCAAACACGAGACATCTGCCGTTTCCTCATAAAATGCAGAGGGCAAATGTCATTGCAATGCACATTGATTATCATTTTAGATCAATTTGAGTGTTCAATGCTTGGTTGGACCAGTCAAGATCTACCCAGAAAGCCCAATGGGCGCTTCGCTGTGGCTCTATATCCTAAAAAACTTTACTTTTGGCAAAACACTGGAAAAAATCGAGATCTAGATTAGTCACAAGACAATTTACACTTAAAATAAGAAAACAGAACTGCATTGTCTTATTTCAAGTGCATATTATCTAATTATCTTATTTTAAGAGTAAAAATACTCATTCCATTGGCAAATTACCTAATTTACCTACTCAAATTAAGGGTTAATACACTTAATTTAAGAAAATTTTTATTATTTCAAGATCGTTTTTCCACTGTACTAGTTAGAGTGGCTCAGTTGGTCCGGAGCTACCTCTTTAGTAATGCTGCTAAAGACTAAGGCTGCTGGAGGACATAAAAGAAATCTTTCCCTGACTCAGCTACATTGAAAAAGCCTCTCCTACCACCATGTATACGTATGTTCAGCGTTTACCATGCCATAGTCTGCTGCAGGCTCAGCGCTTACTACATCCGCTAAGCTGTGCTTCTTTAAATGAACCTCAAATAGACCTTCCACTCTAAGAAACTCGTCCACTTCTCCAGTAGAAAAACACACAGGTAACTAACAGCTTTTGCATGTTTTTTGTTGGATCTGTCCTTGCAACCTCACTGGTTCTAGCTCTGGGAGAGGTTTCTTCCTGTTCGAAGGAACTTTTCACCATCGCCATATGCTTGGTCAGGATGAGGGATTGACTAAATGCTCTACGCTAAACCTTTTATCATTTTATTATGAATTAGCTTATTTAAACTAAATATCCAGTTTGTGTCAGATTGTTTTGTCTATTTCAGGTATTTCTGGATAAGAGATGGGTCCTTTTTTCCTGTCAAGTGACTTAAAAAAGGAATTTGCTGAATAATGAAATATAATGAATGGAACATGTTTGTCGACAGTGGGCCATGTTCTGTTGGCCCCTAATGGGTCCCTTTATGGACAAATTAGCATGGCAGTTGTGATCTGTATGTCAACGGTCAACATTACTGTGTGGTTTGTATGTTAAGAAACTTGTTCTAGTAAAAGGTTTGAAAAAAAAGTAATAGAAATGAAAGTAATGACAGGTAAAAGTCTCAAACACATAGATGCTGTTAATAAACCAGCTCGTAGCTGTGAGTAGAACGATGCAATGAGAAGCAGCCAGACCAGCATCCTTCAGCTCCTTTCTCCTCGGTCATTTTGGAGAATGCCGGTCGGAATGACTGAACCCCAGTCAGGCTTTTCAGAAACAACCTGAAATCCTTCAATAAGATCATCTGACTCACACAGAACCAAAGCCCCATGTGTTTTTCCTGACAGTGTGAGGAGCAAATCTTTGCATTACAGCTGTAGAAATAACTCCCAGATGTGCAAAGTTGCCTGAATTTAAGCTGGATTCTGGAAATCCTGACCGGAGTTGCGTTATTCCTCTTATCTGGCCGGCGGCGGATTGTGTTTATTATGCGTGTGTGCTACTTACATATGCAGATTCCATGTGTGGCATCGAGGATGAACCCCAAGCGACACACACAGCTATAGCTCCCCATGGTGTTCACACAGAGGCCGTTCTCACACAGCCCCGGCTGGTGGCACTCATTCACATCTACACACATCAGCACATGCACACGTGAATGATAGCAGGATTTCTCTTTGACTCAAAGCCATTGAAGACCAGAGGAGGTCTGCCTCAAACCCAAAGGATCCCAAAGCTGCAAACATCGGAAGCTGGTTTTACGAGCATAACAGAATGAAACTGGTTTTCTGCAGAAAGAATGATCTGCAGATCAAAATCTCCTGATTAAACCATTTTTGGATTTTATTCAATAATAACATCCAACCCCCAAGGCCTTCAGACTGAAATGCCATTTTTGGGGGGAAAAAACATGAAAGAGTTTTGTAAAAATATTGTTTGTTTATTGGAAAACATTAACCCAGTATAGGGTACGTTACCGTTTTTAATCACTTGCATACCCCTTACAAATGGAGTCCCTCCGTCCCTCAGTGAGCTCTAGCAGCACAAGATCTATATCCAGCCATTCAGCAAAGACACTGCTATATGGCCATACATCTTATTTTGGCATTTGACCAATTAGATGAGTCCTTGAATGATAAATTGCCTACTGTAAATTAAGTTGAAAAAAAAGGTAAAAAGTTAATTAGAAAGTTCAAAATACAAGAAAAGAAGGTAAAAAGCTAATTAAAAAGTTAAAAAGTCAAGAAAAAAAGGTAAAAAGCTAATTAAAAAGTTAAAAAGTCAAGAAAAAAGGTAAAAAGCTAATTAAAAAGTTAAAAAGTAAAAAAAAAAGGTAAAAAGCTAATTAAAAAGTTAAAAAGTCAAGAAAAAAAGTTAAAAAGCTAATTTAAGATTTGAAAAGTCAAGAAAAAAAGGTAAAAAGCTACGGTAATTAAAAAGTTAAAAAGTCAAGAAAAAAGGTAAAAAGCTAACTAAAAAGTTAAAAGTCAAGAAAAAAAAGGTAAAAAGCAAACAAAAAAGTTAAAAAGTCAAGAAAAAAGTTAAAAAGCTAATTAAAAAGTTAAAAAGTCAAGAAAAAAAGTTAAAAAGCTAATTTAAGATTTGAAAAGTCAAGAAAAAAAGGTAAAAAGCTAATTAAAAAGTTAAAAAGTCAAGAAAAAAGGTAAAAAGCTAACTAAAAAGTTAAAAGTCAAGAAAAAAAGGTAAAAAGCAAACAAAAAAGTTAAAAAGTCAAGAAAAAAGTTAAAAAGCTAATTAAAAAGTTAAAAAGTCAAGAAAAAAAATTAAAAAGCTAATTAAAAAGTTAAAAAGTCAAGAAAAACAGGTAAAGAGCTAATTAAAGTTAAAAGTCAAGAAAAAACTTAAAAAGCTAATTAAAAAGTTAAAAAGTCAAAAAAAAAAAAAAACGTAAAAAGCTAATTAAAAAGTTAAAAAGTCAAGAAAAAAGTTAAAAAGCTAAATTAAAAGTTGAAAAGTCAAGAAAAAAAGGTAAAAAGCTAATAAAAAATTTAAAAAGTCAAGAAAAAAAGGTAAAAAGCTAATTAAAAAGTTAAAAGTCAAGAAAAAAAGGTAAAAAGCTAATTAAAAAGTTAAAAAGTCAAGAAAAAAAGGCAAAAAGCTAATTAAAAAGTTAAAAAGTCAAGTAAAAAAGTTACTAAGCTTAGTAAACAATTATATTTAGATTTATAAACTAAAAAATGTAAGTGCCAGTATCAGCATTAATGTCTCCAAGGTTATAATGTACAAAAAATTTTTTTTCTTGCCCTCTCACAATGTTTTCATGAATTTCTTATAGAAGCAGTTCTGTTAATTTTCTTAATATATTCAATCAAGTTGGCATTTCTTGTAATTACATTGACATTCATTTTTGCCATCAAAATATCCATATTTCCTGAATATTTTAAAGGTAATAAAGTCTTGTCCTGGATTCCAATAACACTATTGGCTGGAAATTTGGATTTTCAAAGGATTTCACTGAGTGGCCTATAAAGGGTTAACATGAGAAATAAATGTTTTTATTTCATTACCTGTCTCACCTAGTTTGGTAGTTATGTCATATTTTGTTACTCTGGAAGCCAACTGTAGATTAACATATCTATGAATTTCTCTGGATGATTTAAAATAATAAAATTATAAAAGAGAATAAATATTAATGTTACCAATTGTCTTAAATATTAATGGCTTAATAAGGCCATCTTTACATAGAACAGGCTGTGTTTACTTAACTTTAGTTTCATCAACCTTTTATATTGTTGTTATTATGTATTTAAAATATAGCAATGTTGAAATATTTTGGTGCCCAAAATCATATATTTGAGAGCAAGTTAACTAGATAAATTGATCTTGGGAGGAAAAGTTCTCATCCTCAGTAGCTAAGAGCCAGCGGCTCCACCTGGCGGCCATGTTTTACTCACCGACACACTGCGATCCATTAGCTGATTGCTGGAAGCCAACAGGACAGCTGTTGTTGCTTCGACCTGTTGTTGATTAATAACAGATCAGTTTAAAAAGAATTGCTAAAAATACATTTTCTCAGGCAATTTTTAAATCCTTTATTTGCTTAGTTTTTGAACTTTGGTGTTGAAGGACTTCTAAGCTAGCAATGACGTTAGCAATTTATCAACATTCTTTGGTTCCCAAAGAAGGGGTCTGGACCCCCCGGGGGCCGCAAAACTATAAGCTAAGGGTCACAAGATATTTTTTACATTGTGATGTGATTCAAATATAACAGTAAAAATACCAATAAATTATAAAATGCAAAAAGAAATAAATATGCCATTAAATGATCAAAAATAGATTTAAAATAATCAACTGTTATTTAAAAACATTTTGTTAAAATGAACATAATTAGTTTACCGTATATCAATAGATTGATTTATAGAAACATGTAAGGTACTTTTAGGGGTGGCTAGTTGGTGCCACAGTTATTTTCAGGGTCACAGGCAGAAAAGTTTGATAACCTCCACTCTTAGGTAACATTTCAGTTTCATGGAAATGCTCAGATGAAACATTTAGTAGATTTATTAACAGAAAGTGAATAAAATCTGAGCTTTCTTTGCAGGGATGGTGCTTTATTGCACAGCTGTTAGTGAACAGTTAGTTTGTACCTGGGGTTTCAGGACAGAGAGTGCAGTCAGTGAGGCCCCACGCCTTCCCACCTCCCCTACAGCACACCTCCCTGCTCCTCAAACCAGGGAGAGGAGAGCTGCACTGCAAACACATAAAAACAGTGAGCATAGATCACAGTTCAGTAATAATTGGCTTCAGAGGGGAATTTCATTGGTTATTAATCCTCTCAGAAACAGAAATGCTGTTTTTGTTTTTTCCCCCTATTGTTCCTCCAGATGGAAACAGCAGCTGTCACCTGCCTCCTCTCACCTGTCCATCTTTGACTTCTCTGAAGCAGTATTTGAAGTCAGACTGAAGGTTGTAAGTTCCACCTCCCCTCAAAGTCTGGGCCTGGATTCTTCCAGCACCTGCTGGAAGCAGAGCCGGAGCAGGAGCACCGGCTGAACCCGAAGAGGAGGAGGCGGAGAGGGACCGCAGGGAGGGAACGGAGCCAGAAACCTGGATCCACAGCGAGGAGACAAAGAGGAACCAAAACAAAGATGTGGAAACATTTATTTGAGCTTGTATAAAAAACAACCATAGTTCTAACCGAACAAATACAATACAAAACTATGGAGTAGATTTTGCTCCATTCTTCTTTGCAAAAACACCAAGATTTTTTACTTTATTATCTGAGATCAATTTAATCCCATGAAGTGATTGACACATTTTTGATAATGGATTAAAAAATACACTTTATAATTCCTCTTTAATAATTCAATTTAAAAGGTGCAATTAGAAAATACTTTTAAATTAGATTTTAAATGGCCTGATTTAAATGCTAAATTGTAAAAGGAGATAAAAAACTCACTCCATACAAAGTAAAAATAATATCTAATTAGAATACCTTAAATTAAACCAGAAAATTTCCAATATAATTCCAAAAATGTATTTTAAGAAAATATAAATTACATTTAAATACAATAGTGTAATAGATAAATAACTAAATAAGAACTTAAATGACTAAATAGAGTAGGATATGAGGTTAATATAATTACATCAAAAATATTAAATAATATTGAATATGTAGAATAATAAAAAAAAAAATCAATTTTAATCTGATGGTTCATGGATGTACCTTCATCACCTGGTGGATCTTCACACTGGCCTCGGGGGGGTGCTGAACTCTGACCTTCACCATGCGGGGGTCTGACGCTTCTCATGTTTGTTAAAAAATTATCACAAGAGAAACTGAAACTAAGTTTAAATGTATTGAAGCAGAGAAATAAGCTTAAATCATGTTTAAACAGTTGTGTTTTCCTATGAACTGAACAAAGTGAGTAGCAGTGAAAAACTGAGCTTCACCTGTGGACCGTGGCACCGCCCGGCTCTGCCCAAGTGGCAGCAGGAACTCTGACCCCATCAGCTCCTGATTGGCCGCCGTGGCAGAGAGCAGCAGAGGTTTGACCACCTCGTTGGCGTCTCCGGACCTGGCGGCTAAATGTGAGACAGGAATCTGGCAGAACTTTCCGGTAAAGTTTGCAGGACATAAGCAGCGATCCTTCTGCAGACAGAGGCCTCCGTTCTTACAGAGCAGAGGACAGAGAACTGAGGAGGAAAAACAGAAAACAGATTCTGCTCAATCTGCGTCTCTTTGGACATAAAGCAACAACAGAACCTCTTCCTCTGCAGCGACATTCTTTTAACATTCAAGCTGCTGATAATCAAACCACTAAAACTCAATCCTGATTAGTAAAAAATATTCAGAACATTTTATTGACCCAACTTTGTCATTTCCCCACAATTAAAATTTATGGCATCACATTTTATCACAAAATATTGATTTGCTTTTATGATAGTTAAAGATTTACAAAAACAAATGAAGTCTAATTAGATTTAAAAATATATTTTTTCTCACTACGCTGCTAAAAACTTTATATTTTAATAATTAATTTCAGACATAGTTGACTTTTAAACATAAATATAAAATCTTTAAAAAAGAGAAAACTAATTCTGTGAAATTAATGTTACTTTTACACAATCAGTCAAAGAGATTATAAAATATATATAAACATTAATAAAGGTATTTGTGAACAAACACTCAAAACTGTAAAGTGAAATAAATCAAAACATAAAAAAAGATGAAACAAAAAAACTTAAAAGACTAATGATGTTTAAAGCTGCAGTCACGTTTAGTGATTTTCAAATCTATACGCCAGTAGGTCTCTCTGGGAGCAGAATGTTTTTCTGAATGATTATCCTGCTGCCGTATTATTTGGTATTTTTGTGTTTTACACTTTTTCTTTGCTCAACCTTTTTGCAGATAAACAGATATAACTAAACTAGAAAGTAGCCTACGGCTAAGCCATATATATATATATGTATATATATATATATATATATATACATATA